TATGATAGTAAAATAATTAATCTTGTAATAAATTTTGATAGTTAAATTAATAAATACTATGTTTAATTTATGTTTTAATACATATACTCTGTAATTTACACACACACACATATATAGATATAAAACATATATAATTTTTTTTTTTGTGTGGTGAGGTTGTGGTCTTGTATTGTATATGGTTCTATGTTCTTTGTCTGCTGCTGTTTTTTGAAAAATGTATGTAAATGTTGGGAACGAAAATAGCATAAGTTACTTTAGTTAAATTAATAAGAATAAATTTAAATTAATATATACAAAAGTATATATTAATTTAAATTAGTTAAATTAATATATACTTTTGTCTGATGTTATGGGTCTTTTGCTGTTGTGTCTCAGAATGCAAGCATGCATATTACTTTGTATTCCATGCTAAATACCTTGATACGAAGCATTTTAACACTGTCAATATTCTTCCCCCCAGTATCACACCTATTCAACATTACCAAACACACTCCCTACACACACACACACACCTGTGAGGCACTATTTATTGTAAATGAAGACAGCTTCTTCTCCTTTTAACTGCACTCATGGACACAATCGTATTTTAGGATATTTTCTACTTCTTTTCCTTTTCTTTATATAGGCCCTTTTTTCTCCTCTATTATTTTTGAGCCATATTTTAAATTTTATTTTGTCCCATCTTTTCTTCCTGGCCTTTTCGAACTCGTACAAAATGTACGAAGTTCCTTTTTACTCTCCTCAAATACGAAATTGCCCCCCTTTCTATATACCTTTCCTTCGCACCTAAGCTTGATTTTTCGCCCATCGGTGCAGAGAGACTTAGCGGGTGCAAAACAAGACATCTCTCTACTTTGTCTGTCTGTCAAATATGATAGGTGCTCTTGCTCTGAAGAGGAGGCGATTAAGATGTTGTGGAGAAATCTTTATTATTATTATTTGTCCGATGCCCCGAGAGAGGGCGCTTCCAGCTTTCTCCCTCTTCCTCTCTAGAGGAAAATTCGAACTGGTTACTCGGTTCCTGGCTGCCGTCGATGAAGCACGCACTCACCTCTCTTTCCCTCCGTGATGTTATCGTAGCTGTAATATGACTTTCTTGATTTTTACTCATGCGGACTTGCGAACTGAAAAATGCTCATCTTGTAACTACATGCAATGTGATTGTGTATAAGTGAATATATGTTAAAATATATATCATCCTAGAATTAAATATAAATGTTAATATTACCGAGTCAGATTTTGTTAACATTCAACGTGCAATCAAAAATGGCATCCATTAACAACTGGCATAATTTAATAAAAATAAGGTACACAAAAGTCGAGGCCGCTTAACACCTGATTCATGAAGCGTTGGAATGTTTGAGCAGCATTGCATAAGCCGAAAGTCATGACCGGGAACTCAAATAGTTCAAAAGGCGTAATAACCGCAGTTTTTGGAATATCAGCTGGGTTAACGGGCACTTGGTGATACGCCCGCTCAAGATGAGAGGTTGTAAAAATAGCTTTTGCCTCTAAAACTTGCATACAATCTTGAATTGTGCGAGACTGGGTAACTGATCAGGAATTGTAGCTGCATTTAACCGGCTATAATCGCTACACGGGCGCCAGTTACCATTTCGTTTCCGAACTAGATGGAGCGGACTGGCACCTATGAACTTTTTGAAGGACGGCAAATTCCCTGTTCCATCATATATTGAAATTCCTCTTTGGTGCAGCTTTAACGCTTGTTCCGGAGGTAAGCGTCTTGGTTTAGCGGTAATTGGAGGTCCGGTAGTTTCAATATAATGTAGTCATCGTGCTTGGGTTCGAAAATATCCATAACTGGGCGCGTGATTGTAGGAATTCTCTGAGAAGTTGATTACATGGGGAGTTACTCGAAATCAGTTTAATGCTCAGATCTTAACTATTGAGAATTACTCCCGGATAAGTTAAGTTGGTTGTGGAATCTATCAAACGGCGATTCTTAAGATCGACAAGCAAAGCAAATTTTTGTAAAAAGTCAGCGCAATAATAGGACTTGAAACAGTAGCAATAATGAATGGCCGTTGGAAGTTGCGGCGCAATCCTAAATCAACAGATATCAGGCGTTCACCAAAAGTCTGAAATAGGAGTTCCATTTGCTGCATAAATTTCTTGGTAAGGCGCTTTTGTTCTCGAAAATGTGGTGGAACGACGGAAACATCAGCCCCGGTGTTTACAAGAAACCTTAAGTCCGAATTCTTTTCGATGACGAAAAGGCGTGAAAAATTCCGGCCGCTGTCGTTCACGATATTCATGTCACTCTTTATGGCTTTATATTAAGTCGAAATGAGTTGTTACATGAATGTCGCAGTGTGACTTCACAACAATATTACAGTGTAACTTAACAACAAAGTCGCAGCGTGACTTCACAGCAATGTCACAATGTGACTTCACATCAACGTCGCAATGTGACGTCGCAAAAAAGCGGACATTAAGCCATTCCTACAACGTTACTGCGACATTGAGGTCGTCACAATGCCACACATTTGCAATGTTGCAACGACGCGCAGTGCTGTTGGAGACATTACTTTGCTTATCAAAAACAGAAGTAATATTATTCAAGAAAGGAACAGGTAAATTAATCTGTATATAAATTTAAGTTATTAGGACTGCGCAATTTATAAATGAAAAATTTCGAGGAAAGTATTGCCTAAATGTCATTTGGCAAATCAACAGAAAGTATTAAATATTACAAAACTGCAGGGAACTTAAGAAAATACTCTTATTTAATGGTCATTCAAAACTATATTTTATAAAATAAATGCAGCCAGCATATGAAGCTATGACAACAAAATGAAATGAAATAATGCTTTAATACATGTTGTTGCTCAAACTTTATAAAGATGATTTATTCATTCTATTTTAATATTTTTTAATACTTGCACATAAACGTTATACAATGTTTTTCTACTAAGGTGTCCGAAACTTTCCCAAAGAAAATGTTGTTTGATTAACGGGAATCTGAAATCGCAGAGTCGGAGGTAGGAAAGGGAGGAGGGGCCATTCCGCGCTAGAAGTGAAGCACTGCTTTGAAGCTTGGGTCACCAGACGGGGTGTTCTTTGTTTACATTCAGAAGCTCGCTTGACAAGATTCTGATAGTATTTCGACACACGACAGTTCCATAGAAATCGAAAAAGGGACACTCTCGCATGAAAGAAACATTCATAGTGTGATGGATAATAGCAATTTGTATAGTTTACTGACATTTACGCAAAAATCACATCTTGGTTATTTTTCGATAACTAACAACAGCGATTTTGATTATGAATTTGTTTTATAAAATTCTAAGCTGTTGCACTACAAAAATATAGATTTTAAGAAAATTGCTAAAAGAGATCTGCCAAAATTTATTTTCTAGAAGATTTGAAAAGTTTGAAACTTGATGGCTAAATGTAAATATAAAATTATGTATGTTAAAATATTTGTAATTAGGCACATAGGTCAGATTAAGTTTTTATTAAATAGAGTAACGCATGCAAGGGCTATCTGCCTAAAGAGAGAGATGCCATCGTGGAGGAATTTTGAAAAAAAAACTGACCTTTGAGTGGGTATTAAAAATAATACTTATAATTTTCATTCAAATTATATTCATATATATTTTTTATGTAAAACTTTCGGGTGTATGCTAAATTAGTGTAAATTACTTTACACGAAAAATATAGTGAATGCACAGAAATTAAAGATTTGCACATGCCGGAAATGATAAATAGGAAATATGTATGGGTATTTATGCATGTGCTTGCAAAAAGCATGTATCTGCCTTTGACAAAATACTTAAATATTCATTAAATTATTTATATAAATGTATTTGAAATGAAGAATTTATTCACTTATAAACAACTGTGAAAGTACTGTGAAGAAATCTAATGATTAAATGTATCTAATTTATAATGATTATAAATGTTATCTAAATATATAATAACCTTAATATTGAATTGTAAACATAAATTGAAATCCTGTTGACAAATACGTTATAAAACTATTTAAGCAAGAATTGTTCGTATTGGAAAGCAATCTGTTAAAAGGTATTGTAAAGCAAATGCTATGAGATGCGCACTTAAGAACGTAATAAAGAGTTTTGGAATATGTATTGTTGAAATGAAGGGTAAAAAAAAAAAAAATCTGATAAGTATAATTAAAAGAATTATTCCCTTTACATTTTATAATAACTCAGTTACAAGTTTTAAATAATACTTAAAAAAAAAAAAAACTTATTTTATTCCCTTTCAGAAATGTTCAGAGAAAGTCAAATACTATTTAATACCTATTTAATTATTAGGAATTAGCGAAATACTTATTTAAAGTATTTCGCTAATTCCTAATAATTCTCTAATTTAAAATGAACCGAATAGAGCATTAATTATAAATTGACTTACATTTTTCGATTTAAAAGAAGCCAAAAAATCATGTCATATTTAAGAAAGTATTTTAGGAAGAAGCTCTATAAATAGAAAAGAAATAATGCATAATTTTAATATTAATAATACAATAAACTTTGATCTTAATTTTTGTACCTTAACCGAATAAAATCGAATTACCTTAATTTTTTTTTCTAATGTAATTAACGAAAACTTGTGAAAATATTTCATTCAAATTAAACCATTCTGAGAAAACTGTCCTGTGAAAAGTATAGCATTTAATTCCGTTCAGAATGAAATGTTGTTTAAAAATATGTTGTTTTCACATACTTAGGACTCTGAAGTGTTGTAGAAAAAGAAAATATATACATTTATATGTATATTTGCGACGTAATTACAAAATATTTACACCCGAACGCGTCAAATCCCATAGAACTCAATGGTAAATGACCCAATGTTTTGGTCACCACGTAGGGATCGCCGGTGCTTCAGAGCAGGGTACGGAGAAACTTGTTTAGGGCGAAATTTAGTTCCAGAGAAAAAATATTATCTAATGAGTACGGAATTCAAACGTCTCTGGTTAGTAGCTTTCTACAAGTGTGAGACCTGGAGACGAGGTTCGCTCTCGGAACGGCTATGGGATGAAGTTGGGATTTAAATTGGACATGGCATATGAGATAAACATAAATGCATACTGCGTATAATTCATCTGTACATGACTCATTGTAAGTAACAGCAAATTATAGAACTACTAATGGATACTAAATCATATCATATATTAATGTATCATTCGTTAATTGGGGGAACTTAATACTGCGACCTAAGATAATTTATGAAGATTTATTGGTTACATATTGACTGAATATATAAGGAATTTATACTTGTTTGCACTGTTTTAGTTAAGAAGTAATTGCGCCGTAAGATTTGTGGGCTAAAATGAAAAAATACGAGCAGTGATATGTTATCACGTCAGATTATTGGGAATTCGTAATTAAATTTTTTATCTTTATTTTTTTTCTTTTCTTATCTTGAGGTCCCAGTACCCCTATTATATGATATGTAAATTTTTCTCCTACATCTGTTCTTGCGAAAAATTCTTCGATCGGTTTTTTTTAGTAGCTGATCATAGATAAAATCAAAAATGTGATATTTAACTTAATACAGTTAAATTTAGCATCTCCTCTTGAAAATTTATCCAGTACCTTCCCGCATATATTCGTATTAACATTGGTCATTTCGTCCTTCATTAACTGTATTCAAATTGTATTTCATTAAATCTTGCTAGATTTTACTCCAGTTCCTTTTGTAAAGCAACACACGCTGATTTGCATAATAAATGGAATGCTGAATCTAATCTGATACGGTGTAAATATCTACTTGATTGAAAATATAAGGTATGAAAGATGGAAAATTCGTAAAATTCTTTCAGTTTCATGCAATTAATGCAAATAAATTTGCTGCATGATGGCCATTTATTTTGAGTCTTTCATTATTATTGGTTCTTTTATCTGTATGTTTTGTGTATATGCAGGTTTGAATGGTATGCTGGAAGAGAATATTAAAATAATTTTCATATTGATAACTTTTCTAAACTTACTATTTATTGCTAATTTTAATTCTCAACTGGTTAATTTAAATATAATGTATATTATGCAGCAGTTACAAAGTTTCTGGAGTGTTTCAGTTTGAACCTAATTAAAAGATTTAATGAATATGTACTTCTCAATGATAAGACTGCTATTATATGAACAAAAAATATTTATGAAATACTAAGTAAATGAGAAATAAATTCCATAGAAATCACAATGTCAAATTTAAATGAATGATATAGAAAGGCACCTTCCTTTTTCTCATTCTTATCCTACTAAATTTATTATAAAATTTGTAATATTAATTTAAGGTTCTATTTTCATTAGTTATCATTTATTAAATCATATGTAATACAATTACTCTTTTTTTGTGGAGTGTTTTTTTTCTCCTTGCATATGAATACTATTATTTTGCTTGCCTTATGCTGTGACGGAGTTCGGGCTTTAACAGGAAAACATCCCAGAGTGATTTCTCAAATAATGAAAGTCACACCTGAAACTAAATTTACTCACTGTTCCATACATCATGAAGCTTTAGTAGCCAAAACAATTCCTGAAAACCGGAAAATCGCTTTAAATCAAGATGTGAAAATTGTTAATTTTATTAAAAGCTGAGCTTTAAATTCAAGAATATTTAGTATTTTAGACCAAGAGCTGGGCAGTGAGCATGAAATGCTTTTGTTACATTCCAAAGTAATTATTCCAGACGCAAACTTTTAAATCCTCTTTTTGAACTTCAATCAGAAATTCAAATTTTCCTCTGTGATTCAATTAATGTTTATTTGTGAATTATGGTTGGCATATTTAGCATATTTAATTGTTATTTTTGGAGAGTTAAATAAATTGAATTAAAAAAATTACTAAGCAATGAATCTTTATTCATTAATTAACTAATTACATTTCATGATTTTATTTCATATTTGTGACATCCACACATACCTAGCTTCACAATTTTTTTTTTTTTTTTCCCTTCCCCAGTAGCAACAACAGCACCATCTCATTTCAAAGGATTTAACAATGGACTTCAAATGTTAATTTTTTTATGTCATGCTTCATAAAAAGGGAAAACAAGAGTTTGTCTTCTGAAGTTCAGTGGAGTATTTAACATGTATTCATGTTTTTGAATGTCAGTTAATCAGACACCAAAATCTTCAAATATATCATTGTAATTTTAATTATTTCATAAACAAAAATCAAGCAGGAAAATGTCGGTTGATCTTTGGAATATGGTAACAGGTAGTTTGGCGACATTTTGGAGGCAATAAAGGTTACTACCTAGGACTTCGGTAATAATTTCAGAAGTACTGAGTTCCGATTATGCATTATTTTGTGTGAGGGAAATGAGAGATTCTGAGATATGTCATGTGACATTAATGGACGAATTGCAGTTCTTTAATCGGAAAAGGGGGTAAAAATTTGGAAAAATATCTGTAGTACTATGTTATTATGTATTAAGCTTCATCGTGTGTTATGTGAAATAGTGTTGATTAATTTTCGGATTTCGTGGCACTATTTAAAGTGAATTCTAAATTTTTAATGCGTGTATCTGATAATTCAAAAGAATTGGTTGAATGGTGTATGAGTGTAGGTTTAATTGCGGATAAGTATGAATGTCCAAAATGTGGGAATGAAATGAGATTGTGTGAAAGGAAGGATATTACAGATAAGTTTGAATGGTGGTGCAAGAAATCTGGTGAAAATGGACATTTTGTGAAACGGAGTGTAAGGAAGGGTACGTGGTTTGCTGAAAGTACTTTGAGTATGGGTGAAACTCTTTCTGTAGGGAAGTGTGCGTGCCACGTAATGAAGATTCTGAAGAAGATTAGGTAAGTTAGTATTTTTAATCATTTGAGGATATTATTTTTATTCATTGTTCTAAATGTAAGGTGTAAATTAATATGGTATTATTGGAAAATTGGGTTGATCTTTATGGTAACTTATGGTAACTTGGCGATTTTTTGGTGAAAATTTGGTGACCAACTCTCCTACAGCAACCCTCTATTTTTTTTTTCCCGCCGCCATTTTGTCTTCACGAAGTAAAGACATGTTTCTTTTCTTTTTATCTACTGAACACTTCTTCCAACAATCTACTAGCTGAATTACACTTATGCTAGAAATTTTATCTAACAAAACTGCTTAATCATGACAAATATTCACTGCAAAATTGGGAAAAAGTGCACAATACCGTACTCCTTACACGTTTTTCAAATTAACACATACACATAAACCATGTACACGACGACTTATTTTTACTTAAAAAAACATCCCAGAATTACACAAAAATGGCATTGCGCACACTCTTCACTATATCCATGTACACTGCTTTTTTCTCATAAATTTGAAAAATTTCACGAAAATACATGACAATTTTCTGAATCTTTAAACCCGGTAAAAGAACATATATGAAATGTCAAATATTGTCAATAGTGTCAAATATTTAAATTATTTCCATGCACGTTTACTTCAACTAAAACGTATACCAAATTCCTACAAACATAAAATTCACTAAATAACTATCATTTAATTAAAATATCACTAAACCATGTACACGTCGACTTATTTTTACTTAAAAAAAAAATCCCAGAATTGCACAAAAATGGCATTGCGCACACTCTTTCTTCACCATATCCATGTACACTGCTTTTTTTCTCATAAATTAGAAAAATTTCACGAAAATGCATGACAATTTTCTGAATCTTTAAACCCGTTAAAAAGAACATATATGAAATTACCTAATAACGAAAAAGTATATACCCTTTCTAAATATGAACATTTCCACGTCTAAAATAAATAAAATATCCAAAAACTTTTACCTCTAAATTATCTATTATATTATAAACATCACCAACGAATTCATACCGCAAACATTACAAATATTTAGTGTCAAATATTTAAATTATTTCCATGCATGCTTACTTACACTAAAACGTATACCAAATTCCTACAAACATAAAATTCACAAAATAACTATCATTTAATTAAAATATAATTAAAATCAAAAACACTACTTAAAATATAAATAAGCACATACATTAAATTAATAAAAATTAGCTTAAAGTCCTAATTACTTTAAACTAAATCATTGCTAATAACAATTTTCCCAATAATACCAAATTACTTTACTTCCACCTTACATTTAGAACAATGCGTAAAAATAATATCATCAAATAATTAAAAATACTAATTTACCTAATCTTCTTCAGAATCTTGCTTACATGGTGGATACACTTTATTATGGATTCAATAAAATTATTGAACGATTTTTTTCTGCGAATTTTTCCATTCCTCCACACTTCCCTCCGCTAAATAAAAAGCAAAATTCTCTTTATCACATCTAGAATTCACTTTAGACAAGCGCCATATACATCCCAAAATTATTCAAAACCCTACTTCACACAACACACAATGAAGCTTAATACAAAATAATATACAGCCACAGATATTTTCCAAATTCTCCCCCTTCCTTTTTCCGATTAAAGAACCGAATTCGTCCATTAATATCACATGACATATCCCATGATCTTTCATTTCCCTCACACAAAATAATGCGTAATCGGAACTGAGTACTGCTCATATTATTACCAAAGTCCCAGGTAGTAACCTTTATCGCCTCCAAAATGTCACCAAACTACCAGTTATCATATTCTAAAGATCAGCCGAAAATTGTTATTAGCAATGATTTAGTTTAAAGTAATTAGGATTGTAATCTAATTTTTATTAATTTAATGTATGTGCTTATTTATATTTTAAGTAGTGTTTTTTAATTTAATGATATTTTAATTTAATGATCGTGATTTTGTCAGTTATATGTTTGTAGTATTTTGGAATACGTTTGAGTAGTATACGTTGAGTATTTTCATGCATTTTCGTGAAAATTTCCAATTTATGAGAAAAAAGCAGTGTACATGGATATGATGAAGAGTGTGCGCAATGCCATTTTTGTGCATTCTGGGATTTTTTTTAAGTAAAATAAGTCGACATGTACATGGTTTTAGTTATATTTTAATTAAATGATAGTTTTTTTTGTGAATTTTATGTTTGTAGCAATTTGTATACGTTTCAGTTGAAGTAAACGTGCATGGAAATAATTTAAATATATGACAATAAGTATTTGTAACCATTTTTAATGTTTGCGG